CTTTGGTGCCAACCACGCTTGCAGCATCCTAATAAGCACAAAATCATTGGGCCCCATCCCTGCCCAGAGGGATGAATGCATCTGTCCATCTACCCCTCATTTATTAACTGCAAGACTTCAGTAGAAAACAAGATGTTCCTCCAGGAATAGAGTGTTCTGTTCAGCCTTCCCCACCATTGCGTTGCCCAGAGAGTGTCCCGTGCTGATCCCCGTGCCCCTGTTGAGCCCTGGAAGTGCTGATGACTCCTGGCCAAAGCAGCTACCATCTTCCCTATCTCCCCTTGCAGTTCATACTCAATCTTAAATACGTCATCGTCCAACCCTCTCACATTTGGGGATGGAGTCTTGGAGAGGCGGCAGTACGAGGACCAGGGACTGGGGGAGACGACGCCACTGACCATCATCTGCCAGCCTATGCAGGTAGGCGGGTCATCAGGGCCACCTCCTCAACTCTAATCAGGAGTCACTGAGAACCTCTTCATTAACCATGAGGCATCACCCTGGCTGTCCCCACAGGGTCCCCGATTTCTTGGAGAGAAAGTACATGAGATTTTAAAAGATATACAGTAATTCAAAGCTAGGAAGGGTCAGCTATGTGGTACCGACAACCACCACCAGCATTTGAGTCTAGGCTAGTAGGGAAGGTTGTTGCAGAGAGGAGGGGAGATTTTATCTCTAAAGTAGGAATAATGCCCATAGTTGTATCTATGTGGTAAATTGGTTGTGAAGATTAAAGAAAATAATAAAATACAGCTCTTAGCACAGTAACTGGCATATAGTGATTGCTCAATATATGTTAGCCTGTCTAAGAAAGGTTGGAGACGGGAGGAGTGGGGCAGTAGCTATTGAATAGTACAGACAAAAGCGAGTTAAAAGTTCAAACACATTGAAGGTCAAGAGAGTAGAGACCACTTTGGCTGAAGCCCAGGTTTTGAATTAGGCAACAGTAGGAAAAGAAATGGGAAAGACTATGCCACCGTTCCACGTATTAACCATGTCGGGGCAACCAGAAGGAAGGTCAGGTGCTGGCCAACATGAACCTGGCAGCACTGAGGAAACTGGGAGCAGCTGACTGCATCGGAAAGAAGGAAGGTAGAAACATGTAAAGGTCTACCCAGCAGTTACAGAAACCAAAGTCATTTGGACACGCCGTTGACGAGACTTGCCTATCTTATCATGCAGAGTAGCCGTTGTCCGCCCTGAACATGCGTGTAGTCAGACAACAGCACCCACGCGGTGATGAGAATAGACAACACGGGGCCTCACTGCGGGAGCAGACCATGAGAACCACATGGTCTGAGCACCTCTTTCAAGATGAGGCAGGCACATTTGTGGTAATAGAAGTCCTCGCCTCCTGAGGAAGTTGAGGAAGCATCCCTTTTGAGGAGGAAACTGTCCTACTAGATGGCTTCCGCTACATTAGTGGCTGGTCGTAACTCTGAGCTGCAACTTCAACTGACCTTCGTGTTTTCGTAATGGCCAAATGCTACTCTTATTAAGAGCTGCAGCAGCATTTTCATAACCCTTCTTCTTTTACAAAGCACCTGCAGTTTACCTCCTTTGAGCCTCAGAATGACTTGTGAGGTCTGTAGGATGAGTCTTGCTGTCCTCATTTTGCACATAGGCCAACCTAAATGCAAGACAGTTAAGAGGCTTGTCTGAGCCATACCTCAGCAGAACTTGTGCTGGAACTCGGCTCACCTGGCACCTGGCTCCAGGACGTGTCTACTTTGCCACGTGTTTCCTCACTAACAGCCTTTCTTTCTCCACAGCCTCTGAGGGTCAACAGCCAGCCTGGGCCTCAAAAGCGATGCCTCTTTGTGTGTCGGCACGGTGAAAGGATGGATGTTGTATTTGGGAAGTACTGGCTGTCCCAGTGCTTTGATGCCAAAGGTGAGTCATTGGCAGGCCTGCTCAGCACTGGCATACCCATCATGACCTCTAGGGGGCGCAGCCAAGCTACTTTTATCCAGATGGAGTCTTTCATGGTTTTGTGCTATAGAAAATGTCTGTAATCTCTAAGTCCTTACTGATTGTCTTTGAGTTTTAAGGAAGAGGTAAGTTTTCTTGTCACCATCCTATAAACTGAGGAACCAGGGACCAAAGATGGCAGATGTCTTGCCCATATGGAAAGTCAGCAGCAGAGACATGCTCTGATTCCATGGCCAGAGTGCCCTCTGTTAAATCACCCCGGCTCATTCTGTTCCATTTTCATTTGAGTGGCATTTTAAGATAGGGAGGTTTGGCTAATCGGAGAATCTCGCCTGCCTTAGAGTGTCTGGTTATTACTTTCACTCAGAAACTATCTCTTGTCATTTTTGTCGGCCGAATGAGCAGTGAATTCCAAGTCACTCTGTGGAGGAAAGTGTCAGCCTTGATATCTTCCATGTGCTCCCACGAGTTCAGTTTGGTCTCTTTGGCCAAGGAGGAATGGAGGTAGAGAGAGTGTCAGGATCAGTAAGGGAAGCCCCAAGGAAACAAGAAATGCACGTGGGCTTTATCTGACCATTTCTTTCTCCAGGCCGCTATATACGCACCAACCTGAACATGCCTCATAGCTTACCTCAGCGGAGTGGTGGTTTCCGGGATTACGAGAAAGATGCTCCAATCACCGTCTTTGGATGTATGCAAGCAAGACTAGTGGGTGAGTGTCCTAGAATGACTGCACGGCATTACCTGGCTGCTTCTTCAAAAGACTGGTACCAGTGGGTATGCAGTACACTTCCTGGGGGCTGCTATAACTTCCCTACAAGGAACATATTTCCACAAATCAAAAGGGATTTATTATACAACCATTAGGTTTGGGACACTGGGCTAAGCCCTGGGTTGGCTTACCAAAGTGAATGAGGGTTGGTCCCTTTTGAGGAGCGTATGACCCAACGATGGGGGCGGTCAGGCTTGGATTACCTAGGTCACTGGTGTAGCAGACAAGTCAGCTTCTAGTTCAAGACAGCAGCCTCTGCCACATGGCTGTAGGAAGAGGACAAGAGTCAGGAGCAGGGAGCCCGGAAAAGGCTGAATTTATAGACGCCAACTGATACTTTGAAGATGCCCAGTTCTTTGCAGGCTCATTCCATACCTGCCACGCAGAGACAGTACCTTGTCTTGTTCAGTCATTTCACAGATATTTATTGATTATTTACTTTGTGCAAGGCACTGGGCTATGTGTTGGGGACCCAGGTGTGAGTCCCCACCCTCAGGAAAACAAACTTATGCGTGGACAAATATCATACAATGTTATACTAAATAACAGAGCCATGCACAGAGTATTATGGGAACACAAAAAAAAATCTTAGAGGAGAAGAGAGGTAAGCTGGGAGCTGAAGTGGAAGTTACTGGCAGAGACGGAGCAGGAGGGAGGAAAGGGCGTTCTCAGCGGAAAAGACCACATACACAAAGTCACAGAAGTAAGAAACAGCATCAAACATCCACAGTGGAAACAAGCGGTCTTGTTTCTAGGGTATAAATTGTGAGGCAGGGCAAGAGATGAGGCTGGAAAGATGGAGAAAGAGAAGTTCCCAGAAGACCTTGACCACCACATTGAGGTGTTGGGACTTTATCCAGTGGAGAGAAGAAGTGGATTCTATGAGGGAAGGGTTAAATTATCAGGTGTTGGGATTTATCTCTGGTGTCCAAGAACATAAGTTGAGATTTTGATTAGCACAGAATAAAATTAAAACAAGGTCTAATTTTCATAATATAAACCTTCTCACCTGTATCACAAACTTGAAGTCAAAGCATTGTCCTGTGTTCCTGGGTTTCTCCTAGGTGGGTGTTTTACCACTTTTTAGTGCCAGGGAGAAGGAAAGAACAAGATAAGCAGGGGTCTGTCACTTGCCCTCTTCCGTAGGAACACTGGTAAAGGGATCTGTGGGAAACAAAGCTGAAACCACTGGCTCCACGTGAGCCCCAGCTAGGAACAAGGGGTCCACGGAGTCTGCTTGGCCCCTCATGTTGAGTGCCAGGCAGAGCTGAGTAAATCTAGGAGACTGATTCTTCTTTCGTTTTGTTTGCAGGTGAAGCCTTATTAGAGAGTCACACGGTTATTGATCACGTCTATTGTTCCCCGTCCCTACGCTGCGTTCAGACTGCACACAATATCTTGAAAGGTATAAGACTCGCGGGTTGACAAAGGTCCAATAGTCCATTACCTGTGTCTCTAGGCAGCCCCACACCTAAATTATCTTAGAGTCATGAGACTTTAGCCAATTGAAAGGTTTGAATCTGGAATTTTTAGCAAGGATTCTTTCAGAAGATGATCTTGCACAACTCACAAAATCGTACTCTGCCAGCCTAAGCCAAATAAAAGTGATTATACTATTAATAATGATGTTTTTCTTGAGAATTCAAAGCTGTCTTGGATGAATCGTAGGCTTGCAAAATAGTTAGACTTTGTGGAGCGTGATCCTTTCTTTGCACTTAAAATAGTCAAATGATTTTTGCCTTTTTAGATTTGTTGTTTGTCTCTTGTTTACAGTAAAAATGGTACTGTTTTAAGTCTCAAATGTTTTCCTTTTAACTAATTATTTTTAGAGACAGGCTCTCACTCTGTCACCCAGGCTGCAGTGCAGTGGCGCAGTCATACCTCACTGCAGCCTCAGAATCACAGGCTCAAGCGATCCTCCTGCCTCAGCCTCCCGAGAAGCTAGGACTACAGGCTTGCACCACCACACCTGGCTAATTTAAAAAAAAAATTTTTTTTGTAGAGACAGGGATCTCAATGTATTGTCCAGGCTAGTTTTGAACTCACAGCTTCAAGAAAACCCCCACCTCAGCCTCCCAAAGTGTTGGGATTATAGGCGTGAGCCACTACACCCAGCTGAAAGTCTCAAATCTGTTTTTGTTTTGGGTTTTTTTTTTCCTAGGAGCTCCAATATCCAAGAAAGTCTCAAATCCTCATCATTTTCATTTCTTTAGTTAATTAGAAAGA